ACTTCTTTATCCTCTTCCTGCTCCTCCTGCTCCTCCCCTCCCTCCCCATCTTGTTTCTCATCCGTCTCCCCGCCCCTCAACTTCTGCCCGCGTGCGGCAAGATGATCCTTGAACTGACTCATCGACAGCACCTGCAATTGCCCATCACTTCCTCCTCCTCTTCCTCCTCCTCCTCCTCCTCCTCCTCCTCCTCCTCCTCCCTCCCTCCCTCCTCCGCCCCCCCCTCCCCAATAAAATACCCTCATCTATCCTCTGAACAGCAGCTTTCGCCCTGGCCCTGGCCCTTCCACTAGCCCCCTTCCACCTCCTCTTCTCCCCTCTCCCACTCTGCCTCCCTCCGGCTACCTTTGCTCCCTCCTCTACTGCCATTCTCCTAACGCAGCAGCTTCCACTTCGCTCTCCTCTCTCATTGAACTCACCAGGTCGTTTGACGGAACATCGCAAGGCAAATTGTGAGGAGCCTTCAAAAACTCTCGTCAATACAATGTCATGAGTGCATTCCACACATCTCATCTCATTCAAACTTCAAACCTTCCATTCATCGTCATCGTCATCGTCATCATCATCATCATCATCATCATTGCCAACATTCCTACCCGAAGTTCATTTTCTCTCATCTCAATCTTTCTCATCATCGTAACTCTCTCGAATGCCTTCAGCTCTTCTTCCGTCTGTGCGCAGATTAGTTACTCCTCCCTCCCCTCACCGTCCTCCCTCCTTCCTCCTCCTCCTCCAATTCACCTGCTTCTTCAACGGAAAACTGTAAAGACGTTCTGATCCCTTGCCGAGAGGAACGACAACAAGTTGAGTGACCTGGAGACGAGAAGTAAGAAGAAGACGAAGAGAGCAGAAGGAGGAAGACGAGAAGAGGAGAAGAGGAGGAGAGGAGGAGCAGCGGAAGAAAGACGGGAGACAAGGAGAGGGGAAAGACAAGGAGGAAACCAGGAAGGGGATTTGTGGGTTTGAAGGGAACCAGCCAAGCAGCACAGGAGAGATGGGGGGAAGGGGGAGGAGAGGGAGGAGGAGAGGGAGGAGAAGAGGGAGGAGAAGAGGGGCAAAACGTCTGAAAGAGGAAGGGGAAGAGGAGCAGATGGCAAAGGAGAGGCAGGTGAAGAGAGGAGAGGAAAAGGCTTGTAAAAGACCTCCATGGCATCAAAGCACAAACTCTTTATCTGCAGAGCCTCCTCCTCCTTGGCGTCGTTGACTCGGGAGATTTCTTGGCGCACATTGGCGACCTGAAGCATTGGAATAAGGAGAAGCAGGAGGGTGAGACATGCGAGGAGGAGGAGAGAGG